ACCCAGGCATGTGCCCTGACCGGGAATAGAACCCCGATCTCCTGGATCCTAGGTCGACGCTCAACCGCTGAGCCATGCCCGGCCGGGCCCAGTAAAGTATTTTTAAGTAGAATAATTTCACAAGTCACTAAGCCATCAATTTATTGGAAGATTTACAAGTGGGTCTTTATAGGGTCGGCAAAGTAGTCAGTTGTTTCTGAGAACTTTAGCAGCAATTTGATTTTATTTATATAAAATAAATTTATTTCTTTGATTTTTATTTGCTAGGTACTGTCCCTTCATTAGACTAAGACCTGGCTCATTTTATCAATAACATTAAAAATACACTTGTGGAGTGCTCAGTTTGTTCCAGACTCTGTGCCCTGTACTGGACTTGGTGATTCCAGCAGATGCCTTCCAACTCCACAGGTTCTCCATATATAGAAGGGTTTCAAGAATTTTCTTCAAGTTATAAGTATTTTCCCCTTTTTCTCTCTGTGACTTCAGTTTTGATACTGAGAAATTATTACTGAAGAAATGAATACATTTATATGCCATAGTTGATAATAGTTATAGTTTAGATCTAAAAAAAGATAAAGAAATATATGAGTGGACATGAAGTTAGTTGTGAATATTTCGTGATCTTTGTTGGAAACATATTACTGTTGAATCGATTATAATATTTTAGTGAAAAAATTCTTAGAAGCCCTGTTCTTAAAAGGATATTAATATCAAAATGAATACTGAGGGCTTGGTGAGCCTTCTTTAGCATGCAGGGTGATGCTTAGTAATGTGAGTTCTAAATGTCTCTGTTAAAATGGCTCATGTTCTGGATTCCTGGGGATGAACTTGGTATGGTTAGTCTGATCTTAGTTTGCATATGTTCTATTTATTTTATAGACTTGAATTTTTAATTAAACATGCTAATTTAGTAGACTGCCTGTTCACATTTCATTAGGAAAAATTTAACCAACAGACTTGCTTAAAAATAGCCCAAAAGTTTTTAGGGATAGATTATGGATAAAACAAGATCTGTGTTGAAATTTGGGTAATGAAAATGAACAGGGGGGCTATCCTTACTGCTTTTACGTATATTTGAGTTTTCAAAATAAAGAATCATTATTTTTTTTTAAATATATCTTTATTGATTTCAGAGAGAGGAAAGGAGAGGGAGAGAGAGAGAGAGAGAAACATCAATGACGAGAGAGTCATGGATAGAGTCCGCAACCCGGGCATGTGCCCTGACTGGGAATCGAACCCAGACCTCCTGGTTCCTGGTCGACGCTCGACCACTGAGCTATGCCAGCCAGGCTTGAAGGCACATTTTGAGGCTGTGTTTGCCCTTCCTGGTCAGTCGTTTCTAANACGGGCAAGAATCACTATTTTTAATTAACCAGCAAGTGAATTGTTTTAAATAATAATTTAAAAGATAACCCACAGTGCGCTACTTCATACTATTTATAGCACACTCTATTTCTCAGTTTTCTCACTACCCATCTAAAAGTATTTTCCTCCTTTGAATGTCTGTATCATTTTATTTTTTTCTCTTCTAGCATTTTCTATCTTGAATTATTACTACTGATGTATATATCTGTCTGTGTCTAACTTCCTTTAATAGATTGTAAAATTTTTGAAGATAGAAACTATGTATCTGATACCTTTCATTTCTCCTCAATGCCCTACAAAGTTTCCTGCATTTATTAAGTGTCCCATAAATACTTGTTGGGCAAACAAAAGGGTGGCTCAGATGGGAGTTATTTTATAAACTGATCCATTTAATAAACTAGTTTAATTATTTTAATTTAAATAATGTGATTTAAAGAAACCATATTATTTTCCTTCACATATATATGCTGGTCCTTGTAATAAACTATATGTATTTTACATTCAATCTTAAGGCTCTTGCTGAAGAGGCCAGTGACGATGAACTTCCCTCTGATGTTGATTTGAATGACCCATACTTTGCTGAAGAAGTTAAAAAAATTGGTAAGCCAGTATACATTTGTAGTTTTCAATTGGAATCTAAAGAAAAAAGGTAACATGGGTTGAAACAGTATAAGCTACTCATTCTTTTAAAATTCCTAGAATTTGTATACTTCCCTTAGTGCCTTATGAGCAGGTCTTTCCTGCGGTGTATAACCATTGACCAGATTAAGAAGGGTCTGCCTGCCCCCTGTACATGCAAGGAGCAATGTCATGGCAGGAGGCTTGTGGTAACACTAGTAATTTAACAGTTTACTGGGGATTCCTTTCTGGGAAATATCCTTATAGACAGATTGACTATAAGAGACTGAAAGGAAAAGGAGTAGTCATCTTCTTGTGCTCCTTCACTGCTTTTTTATAACTCATCCACTGTAGGTCTCGCTTTACAAAGGCTATGAGAAAGTATGAAATAAATTTTTTTATACTTATGTGGATATGTTTAGAAGTTTAAAATTTTTACATGGTGGTGTATAAAAGCTTTTCTGCTCAAATAAACATCTATGTCTCATACTATTTTTGCATTTATCCTGCTTCATTAAAGCTGAAAACCAGCCTCCTCCCCTTTTTCCTTGAATCCCTAAACTACCAAGTATTTGATTTCCTATGTCCAAGGAACCATGGCATGTGCACCACTCATTCTTTCCTGAATGCTTTTATTCTTACCTTTTTGGTCTGTGTAAATGCGTGTGGTGGGGTGCAGGCCGTAGTTGGACAAGTCAGTGCAGAGACCACTGTAGGCGTCTTCCATTCATTCTCATGCATTTTGCTTTGCCCTGATCTGAATACCACACACATGAACCCCAAAGGCCTGCTGCTGGAGCAACTCCACGCTGGCACTGTGCAGAGAAGGGTTTTATGAAGTTTCCCTGCTGCTTGTCCCTTGTGACTAGTGGGCCAGAATAGTTCTCAACAGGAAAGTCAAAATTGCTCAAAATTATTTCCTGGTTGTTAGAGCCTTTTAGCACTGACATTTTATTGATGAAAAGGAGATCAAAATGAATAAAGGCTATTATAGGATGTGAGATTCTTGAGAATTGGAAAGGGAAATGGAAACTTAGCATGTTCTGCTTTTTATCATACCTGAGCGGTCATTTCTAGATGATGATGGATTTTAGTCTTATCCTCTGATTTCAGGAAACCAAGTTTATTATACGGAGAAATGCAAAGCATTATAGTTTCCTTGTTCTCATTCCAAAGTGCTTCATTTGGCACGTGAAATCTGGTCAGATTGCAGAACTCAGGACAGGATTCAAAGAGTAAGTTAAATGGTTTGATGGCTTGGGGTAGCTTATTTCTTGGAATCAGCACATTTCGATTGTGAATAAGCTTTTTCTAAAGTTAGTATCAGAAGTTCCAAGGGAAAGAAAGCATAGATAAAGTTTTCTTTCTTCCAATATACTTTTGATCTCAGAATACTGCATAGAAGTATGTATATGTCGGCTTAAGTTGTTTTTTTAAAACAAAAAGAATACCAGAAAGGCTGAGAACTTAATATAAAATCTAGTGCTAAAAAATGGTATCTTGCCATGTTTGTTTACTCATTCTATCAGTAAGTATTTCTGAGTGCCTACCAGGTGCTGGGCTCTGCTAGGCTGGAGATACAACAGTAGTACTACAGGCAAGGTTACATCCTTTGAGAAGTCTATAGTTTTAGAAAAATATGCTAAACAGGTAAACATAAGAATATTTGAGAATATGGTCAGTGTTTTAAAGGAAATAAATATGGTAATATAGAGGATATAAGGGGGGAGGGAGAAGGAGAGTAGCTTACTTAAATAGGGTAGGCAAAGAAGGCTTCTCTGAGGTGGTGACATTAGAGCTGACACCTGTAGAATGAGAAGGAATCAGCCATAAAGAGCTGGGGGAAGAGCAGTGCAGATGAGAGAAAAGTGCGTGAGATGAGGAAGAACTTGTGTGGGAGAAATTGAGACACCAGTATGGCTGGAGCATGGACAGAGAGGGAATTTGGTATAAGGCTAGGCTGGAATGCAGGACTTAACCCTGTAGGGCCTTGTTGTCATGGCAACAAATTTGGATGCTGTTCTGAAAGTGAGCAGTCACTGAAGTGTCTTTAAGCAAGTATGTGATGTGACATGGTCTGGTGTATGTTTTAACATTGCCCTTCTTCCTGTGAAGAGAACAGATTGAAGAAGGGCATTGGTGAGAGCTGGGAGGTCAGGATTTTGCAAAGGTCTCTACACGAGATGACGGCTGGCTTAGATGGCATGCCAGCAGTGGAATCAGGAGAACATGGAGTGAGAGATGAGATGTGTTGTGGAGGTAGGCTTGCTGACTTACTTGGATACGTAAGAGATGTAGCATAACTTCTAGAGTTTTTGTTTGAGTCCAGAAGAATGTGCTTCCATTTACTGAGGAAGAAATGTAGGAACAAAAGGTTTGGGTGAGAAGTAAGGTCAGTAGGTTAATTTTGGACATAATTCCCTTGAGATATCAGTTAGGCATCCAAGTGGAGATAATTGTCTATGCGATTTGCTGACTAGTCAAAGTAAATATAGATTACAAATCAGTAAAATCGTATTTCAGACCTGCGACTGTAGGTAAAAAGCATTGATTAAAGAGGAGAATGCAGGATTGAACTCCAAGGTCAGGTAAAGCCTATATAAGGTACTATCCGCTCTGTTATACTAGAGAGGGCACTCCCTGAAGGTAGGGGGAAAGCTTAAGGAACTGAGAAGGAGCAGCGTGTGTTTGGAAGGATGTATCTGTAGTTCAGGTCCCATGGTTGAGCACAGCAGTATTTTAAGCCAGGTGGACGTGGGTACATTTGTGATACCTTTGCCCTAGGCAAAGCCATAGAACTGAACTTACACTTTTCAAAATAGGGAGGAATTGAGTTCATTGATTGATGCCAGACATGGCGTTTGGCTTGGGTTAGCAGCCAGTGTGAATACCAGAAATCTTTTCTAATTTTTACTTCTCTTTTCTCCCCTTACACTATAAACTTGCTATAATTTTTCTGTTTTTTCTGAACTGCAAACTTGACATCAAATAAGACTTTTGAAAATGTACTTCAGAATGAGGTAAAAGTTAATGTTTTCTTTTAGAAATGAAATACTGGAAAATTTTCCTTATTGTTTAATTGCATGTACTCCTTAATAACATTGTTTTTGAGAAAGTGGAAGTGAAATAAAGTACATTACATGTAAATATACCCCATTAAAATGTATCCTTTGTCTTGACAACTTTAGGTATTTGATAAACCACCTTGGAAATTTAATAATATGGTACATATATTTGATTCATTCAGCCGATATGTGAGGTGCTTACTGTGTTGCTCGTATGTAGTTGTACAGTTTGCAAATGCTTTTATATTCTGTCCTCTAACCCAGACTTCTGCCCACTTTATAGATGAGTAAAATGAAACTCAAGAAACATAGTTGACTTGTGCAGGGCCAGTGGTAGATGGTAGAACCTGAACCCTAATGGGCTCCCTTTACTTTTTATAATTCTGCAAAGTACATTGTATAGATCAAAGCCAGAGCCAGGACCCGTGTATATATAAGAGCTGGACACAAGGAATTCCTGCATTTCCAAGCAAAGCCAGCATGCCCAGGTCCAGAGGAAGATTAACAGACTGCATCTGATTAGGGGCAAGTGATTTTGAATGCAGGAATTTGCTGCAAAAAGAGTGAATCAGTAGGGGGTTTACCACTCCTGTCTAGTCAGTACTGAGACCAGTCTGCCCTCCAGTGAATTCTCTTAACTACTCTCTCAGAAGAAATGCTTAACTAAACCCTTTGGAGGAAGGTTTTTATGGGAACAGTTCTATGACATTACAAGTAATGACAAATGGGATTTATTTTATAGTCATTTTACAGATCAACTTTTTGCAACACATCTTTTTCCATAGATGTACTCTGTTACATTTTTTGCTTAAAGGGATAGTAGCTTCAGTAAGGAATTTTTTTAAGATTTACTTTTTTAACAATAAAACTAATATCTGATTTCCAGTCTCTGTTAGTATTCAACTTATTAGAATCAATCCATATGTACTTTTTGCAGCAGTCCTCAGAGGTGTGTGTGGTTTCTTACTTGCCAAATAATTCGCTGAGAAATAAAGATAACATTTCAGAATAGGACTTTTATTTCCACTTTACTCTTCATTTAACTTAGGTCTGAAAACTTTCCAAAGGGGAAAAAAATGCTTTTAAAAAATAAATTAAGATGTGCCCTCTTAATAGGATCTTGTTAACGGTGCAGAAAGGATCTCTACTCATTATTTATCTTTTGGCTAAACAGTGCAGTCTAGCACACAGTAAATTCTTTGTGAGCAAAGAAATTTTCATCACACTAAAATTGGATATCATTTTTAACCCTGACCATCTTGGAGCTTCTTTTTTCCTCCCTTGCTGCAGTCTTCCTTTCAAGTTTATTTTTATGACTTTTCACCAGGTTGTTATAAAATCCGGAACAGTTCATTGTGGGCTCTTTGAAATTATTTCCCACAGCTGTATGTGAAGATCTTTATCTCCGTTATGTATTAATCATATACAGCCTGATTTTTTTCCCCCTGCCACAGAATGATCTTCTATATTTGTCACTTGTCCATTCACTTCAAAAGGAGCTTTTGCCTTGAGAGCTTAGGAGCGGAGGTGAACTCAGGGTGTGAGAGTCAGACCCAGAGAAAGTGAAACCTTGATGATACTTATATATATAAAAACATACACATATTTAAAACAGAGAAAAGGGTATAATCTTAAAGTGGATACATCAGTCCCTGAAAAACATTTGAAAGAGGAGCAAGAAAGACTTTCATTCTAGGGAGGGGGCTGTATTTCTTCTTGGAAGTGCGGACACATGCTGCGGTTGCATGAGGGGTGACCCAGCAGGCCTTTCGAGCTGGCATGCTCCCTGCTGGGCAGGGCTGCGGAAGGACAACAGGGACTTAATGCACACAGAGCAGTTTTTAAAGCCTCTTGACTTTAGGCTTTGAATTTACTTTGTTACTTCACATCACAGTGCATTTTAAATGGAAAGGCTATTACAGGGAAAGTATTTGATAGCGAAGGAGTGTAGTGTAGCGATGAACCAAAGAGAGCCTGAGCCGCAGTGCGTGGGTTTGAATTATGGTTCTTTCACTTACCTAACTTGAAACAAATTATTTAACCTCTCTGTGCTTCAGTTTTCTCATCCACAGAATGAGGATCAGAATAAATAATAGAATCTATTTCATCGTTGTTATAGGGATTAAATTAGTTAATATACGTAAAGATACTAGAACAGTACTACTACCTGACATAGCAAGTGCTGTGTAAGCATTAATCGTTATTACTTCAGAGACCATTGGTTTCTTTGCATCGGAAAGACAGAACACAGCTTATTCAAAAAGACAGAGTCTAGCAGTTCAGAGAAGATCAGCATTGTGTATTAATGCTCTAGAGCAGGGGTGGGGAACCTTTTTTTCTGCCAAGGGCCACTTGGATATTCATAATATTATTCGAGGGCCATACAAAATTATCAACTTAAAAATTAGCCTGCTATATTTGGTCAAATATTTAATTAACTCACCCCTAATATGATGGCTGGAACTGCCTCTCTTTGTTGAGGCCTCGGCAGGACCAGACCAAGTGATTTTACAGGCCATTGGGCCAGATGTTCCCCACCCCTGCTCTAGAGTAACATGGCTTTGTAGATTCTGAACCTTCTTTCTTTTCAGACTAGTCTTTCACACCTTAGCACCCTGAATCCAACTCCCTTTGAACCCCTTTCACTCCAACAGCCACAAAATAGGAAGAAAAAATAGGCATCAGCATGATCACCAAGGAACCCAAGACATTATATACATATATATTTTTTTTTTCATTTTTTATATATATATATATATTATATATATATATATATTCAGATTATCATAACAGTAATAGCAAGCACTTTATAGCACCAGGTGATAGGCATTAACTAAGCCTGTGTTAGAGACAGAATTTCCTTGAATGGAATTTTATTTAGAATTTCATTAAATGTATGTATTTTATCATGATTGGATATAGAATTTTATCAAGTGCTTATTTTATATCTGTTGAAATCATCTTACGGTTTTTCTTTCTTAGTTGATGATGCAATTATACATTACTTTCAAGAGAAATTGTTTTTTATAATATTCAGTCTCCCCATCCAGATGTACTGTATTTATTTCATTCATACCCAAAGTCATCTCTCAGTAATATATTTTTTTACTTCCCTAGTTTCTATAGACTTATTGATAAGATTATTCTTAGATATCTTACATTTTTGTTCCTAGTATAAACATATTGTTGCTGATAGTCTTTTAATTTTTAACCTTCCTATGTTTATTGTGCCAGGTATAAAAGAAAAGAAAAAATCAATGAAATCTGCAAAAGAAAGCACATCTCCAGAGGAAGAAGCTGAAATAGAAAAACAAAAGGTAAAATGATCATTGTTACATACTCACACGATAATTTATATGTAATTTAAATGAAGTTATCCACATGAGTTCCTAGTGTCCCTCCCTAATTAAAAAAATAACTGACTTTAGCAGTGAAATTTATAAGTAAATTATAAAACACATAATAAATATTTTAGCAGCATAGTTTTGAAATACCATACTTTAAGCAAACATTTATCCAATTAATGCAAAGTTAAAGCTTACCTCAAACTCAAAGCATGTTATTTGGTGATTAAGAGCAAAGTATCTATTATTAAAAACTCTTACTATAACTGATACAGAAAAAATGCTATGATTAAAACCTAAAAATAAAGTCTTTCTTGGAAATGCAGTGAACCTTATCTTCAGTGACTCCAAAGATCCATGTCACAGAGTAATATGTATCTTTGCTGAGGCAGGAGTTAGAGTCAACAACATCCCTATGACTGACATACCACTCTCTGGGAGTGAGCCTGACTGGTCACGTAACCTTTGCGTTTTAATGGAACTTTTCTGTTTTTCCACTTATTGTGTATACAATAAAACTCATAGAGTTAAAGAGCACAAAGATGATCTATCTCCTTTGTGGAAAATGACTTCAAAAAGAAAGCCAACTACAGGTGCCAGTGATGGAAGTAAAAGGAAATTAAAATAGTCTGAAGTAGTTCTATTGGAAGATTCACAAAAGTCTGGCAGCATACTTTGTATTTTCTCTAGTATACATGGTTGTTTACTTGGTTCTTGAGGGTTCACATTTAATTCTATCTCATGTCAGTAGAAAATACCTACTTAGTGGAAAAGACAATATATTATATTTCAGAAGCAAGTATTAAGATAGATCCCTTCATAGAAATGTATCAATATTGGACAGTAAAGGCAAAAGAAAAAGAACTTTCTTGTTGTTCAAATACATGTTTAAAAAGTAGCTTCTACCACAAAATACTACATTTGCTATATGTAGTATCACTGCTTAAAAAGACCAAAGTGAAAATGAGAAATTTTTATGTGGGTGACTTGGGGACTCATTCCCATCGCCTGCCAATCAGCTACACTAAAGCAGCATGTGGCCTGGTTTTTAATTACCAGCTTTCATCCCTCTCCTACTCCCAGTGGTGCTGCTTCTGAAGATTTTACCTGATTGCTGTGCTGAGATCTCTGGGTTTCTTTATGCATTTCGGTAATCCACAGTCAGTTCACAGATGACATCATCCTGGATCATTGGTGACTGCGTTCCCCATTCCTACAGGACATAATGTGCCCCATATTCCTGTTTGGGGAAGAAAAGCACTGTTGTGTATTTGAACTTTTTCCCTCTTTATAGGCTGAAATGGCTTTGCTCATGATGGATGAGGAAGGAGAGAGCAAGAAGCACTTCAATTACAGCAAGATTGTGGAGCATCAGAATCTGAGCAAAAAGAAGAAAAAACAGCTCATGAAAAAGAAGGAATTATTGGAGGATGACTTTGAGGTAACCAGGGACAGAAGTCATTAGCTTCTTAAAGCTAATGTTGAATCTAGAGTCAGTTCTGGAGATAAAAATTGAGTATAGTCAAAGTCAGCCTTGAGATGTCTTAGGAAGGACTGTGGAGCCAGAGCTACCATCTTAGTCCTACACAGCAGTTGAGAACCAGGTGAAGTGCTGGTTTCTATTTTGGTAACCATGTTGCACCAAAATAGGTAGCTGTCAGTGTTAGAATCACATGAAGTATGATGCTTGCTTGGGAAGGATATGCATAATTAAACCCAACTGAAAAATAGCAGGTTCGTGTCATATTGTTTCACTCTCCCTGTGTTCAGTGGCCAGTGCAGTAAGCCATGCTTTTTTAATTGCTATGTTTTTTGTTTCCATTGGCTCTCTTTTTCTTCTTCTTGCTAAATACATATTCCTAATGACCACATAGTCCCTACGCATGAATTTGAGCCCTGTGCAGAAAACCTACAAACAGCTGCCAGGAACTACTTAATGATTTCCAACCATTAACATGGAAGACTAGACCCGGAGAACATGGGGACATTTTGAATTTGCTCACAGAATGGAGAGGAACATGCAGATAATTTCTTAAGTAGCATGCAGAGGGACTTTGAGGCCATTCTGTAGCGCCCATTTCTGTAACCAGTTCCATATATGTTGCTATTCCACTGCACTTTTCAGTGATTTGGTTTCCTTATGAAAAGTTAAAAGCAAGAAAAGATTTGCAGTCAAACCTCTTATGAGAACTGTCTTCACACTGTAATAGTCATGCATAAAAACATTTTTCGTGAGTGTTTTGTTGTTAGTGGTGGTGATATCACATCTGTTGTCCTTACTATAATTACATAGCCCTACATCCATCTCTCTGTGGACTCATCTGTTCCATGGAAATGCTGGGTGGCAGTGAGTCATGCTCCCTTTCTTGTTAGTCACCCCTGTGGCTAGCAACAACACTCAGAAGCCTGGCTGGAGTTAAGGATGTATTCTTAAGTGTGAAACCACAGTGTTTTTATAGAAAGATACTTGTTCTCAGGGGTGTCCCCTTTTCCATAGCAGTCTCTGAAATTTTTGATCTATGAATCACCCTCAGTAGCTACTCATTTTTGCACTAAAGTTAAAATTTTTTTAATGTACTTCAAATTCGATGACTTTGCATAAAACTACAGCAGGAGATACCATCTCTGGCTTACTTATCCCATCCAGAAACAGATTTTACACTGTTAAGTGTGGGGAAGCATGCCTCAGGGACCACTTCCATAATCATTCATCTGAGCGGCCAGTATACTTACAGGCCACATGTATATAGACCTCTGCAGTTCCCTTTCAAGGAGATTCTCATTGCAGGATAAGAAATGTGTGTCCTACACGCTATGGTCTAAGATAGGCCTTAAAACTCCATTGAAGATCTGTGGGAAAACAACTTTCTAATGAAGCTATGCAAAATGCTCACGTTTATATTTTATATAATCAACAACTCATTGACTTTTTTTTTTCATTTACAGTTGACATTCAATATTATATTAGTTTCAGGTGTGCAGCAATAGTGGTTAAACATTTATATAACTTATGAAGTGATCCTCCCCGCCTCTACCCAATAACAACTCACTGACTTAAATTTGGCCCCATTTCTGGCCTTTTGGTTTACTAATTTTTTATTTTCCTTTTGGATTTACAGGTAAATGTTAAGGATGCACGGTTTCAGGCAATGTATACTTCCCACTTGTTCAACTTGGATCCTTCAGATCCTAACTTCAAGAAAACAAAAGCTATGGAAAAAATTCTTGAGGAGAAAGCTCGGCAGAGAGAACAAAAAGAACAAGAACTTACTCAGGCAATAAAGAAAAAAGAGAGTGAAATTCAAAAGGAATCACAAAAGAGGTCCATTGATCCTGCCTTGTCAATGTTGATTAAATCGGTAAAAAACAAAACAGAGCAGTTTCAAGCAAGAAAAAAACAAAAAGTCAAATAGCAGTATGTTGTTTCTTTTTAGATTAAGAATGTGATCCCCTAAAGTTTACAGAAGTGGTAGAAAAAATATTTATTGGGAACAAAGCTACCTTTCAAGAATATGAATAAAGTCTTACTCTGACTATTGAAATACTTCTCTTGTATTTAACAGAAAGGCCTAATTGTGGATGATTGACAGATTTGTGCTCTGTATTTCCACAGATCAATCATAAGTAATTCAGTTAATCTAAATTACAGGATTTATAAAGTTTTTATATTTTATGAAATTCAATTCATACTAGATTATTCTGAGGTAGTTTCTTTTAAAGGCTACAATTCTATGTAAAAAAATAGAACAGTGCCAAACTTATTTTTCTAGCCCTGAGGGATGGAAGCCAATAAACCTTGCTTATTATAGCTTGTTTATGAAATTAATTTGTAAATAAAAAGTACAGAGTATTTTTATTATTTTATATAGCAGTGATTTATTTCATTTTATACACCTCAAATAAACAGCTCTCTGGAGAACACCCGAACACCTTCCTTCTTTAACAGGACAGCTCCGTGAGGAGGAAGCTTCGGGTTTGCATTGCTCTTAACTGTATTTGAGGTGTTCCTGAGTGCGACAGTGACTTTCATTTTTTTTTTTTAACAGAAAATTCTTTCATCCACCCTTCAGATCTTTGGAATGCTTTGAGGGTGGATATGCTGCTATAGAGTTTAAGGAATTCTAATTCTTTTTAAAATTAAAACACACCTCCAAGGCCTTCATACTCCTGGATCTCATCTAGTCTAGGTTTTATAAACTGTTCACTGTGTCACTGTCCACTTAGGAGAATTAGGTGTGCTATATATTACATGAAAATAGAAACCAAAATGGTCACTTGGAACATGAAAAATATGGTAGCTTCTGAAAGACATTAGGAGTTCAGCCAGCTTTGTGGTTAATAGTTAATGACATTTTTTGGTACAAAAATTCAAGTCTACCAATATAGTATTGTTTGTTTTTCTTTCTTTTTTAATTACTTTGAGAGTGAGAAAGAGAGAAACATCGATGTGAGGTAGATATATGGCTCGGTTGCCTCCCACAGGCACCTGACTGGGGCCAAGGAATGACCCCGCAACCCTGGTACATGCCCCTTTTTTTGTTTTTTTGTTTTAAATTTATCTTTCTTGTCAAAAGTATTACAGATATCCTCCCTTTCTTTTCCCCATTGATGCCGTCCACCCCACATCTNGCCGCAGGCTTCACACTATTGCCTGTGTCTATGGGTTATGCATATAAGTTCTCTGATTAATCTCACCCCACCCAATCCCCCATCCCCACCTTACCACTGAGATTCATCAGTCTGTTCCTTGCTTCTGTGTCTCTGGATCTATTTTGTTCCTCAGTCTATTTTGTTTATTAGATTCCACGTATGAGTGAGATCATGTAAAGCTAAATCAGGAAGAATCAGAAAACCTGAATAGGCCAATAACAACTAATGATATTGAAGCAGTAATAAAAAAAACCAGCAAACAAAAGCCCTGGTCCGGACAGCTTCACAGGGGAGCTTTGTAATTTAAGTTGTAGGGTTAGATAGTTTACTAAAAATTTTTCTTGCTTTTTGAAGTAGGCCCGTAGTGCTATGAACTTCCCTCTTAGGACTGCTTTTACTGTGTCCAGTAGATTTTGGGTGGTTGTGTGTTCATTTTCATTTGTTTCCAGGAAGTTTTTTATTTCTTTCTTGATCTTATTGCTAACATATTCATTGTTTAATAACATGCTATTTAGCCTCCATGTGTTTGAATGTTTTTGAGTGTGTTTACTCTAGTTGATTTCTAACTTCATGCCATTGTGATCTGAGATGCTTGATATGATTTCAACCTTCTTGAACTTGTAGAGACTTGTTCTGTGTCCTAACATGTGGTCTATCTTTGAGCATGGCCCATGTGCGCTTGAGAGGAGTGTATATTCTGCAGCTTTGGGGTGAAATGTTTTGTAAATTCCAATTAAATCCATCTGATCTAGTGTGCCATTTACAGTCACTGTTTCTATGTTGACTTTTTGTCTGGAAGACCTATCCAGTGAAGTCAGTGAGTTGTTAAAGTCCACAGTTATGACCGTATTGCTATTGATCTCTCCCTTAAAGCCCTGAAGGTTATTATTGATAGGTCCTTATTTATTGCCATTTTAATTCTTTATGCCTGTGTTTCTCTATTTCTTATTATTACAGCAGTCCATTTAACATTTCTTGCAATGCTTCTATTTCTACTTCTAATTACATCAGCCCCTTTAACATTTTCTGCAGTGCTGGTTTGTTGGTGATAAATTCCTTTCGCCTTTTTTTGGTCGGGTAAAATCTTTATTTCACTATCTATTTTGAATGATAGTCTTGCTGGATAGAGTATTCTTGATTTCAGATCTTTGTTTTGCATTACCTTGAATACTTCATGCCATTCTCTTTTGCCTATAGAGTTTCTGATGAGAAGTCAGCTGACAGCCTTATGGGAGCTCCTTTGTAGGTAACAGGTTGCTTTTTTCTTGCTGCCTTTAATATTTTCCAACTTAAATTTTTGTCATTTTAATTATGTATCTGGATGTGGGCCTCTTTGGATTCTTCTTGCTTGGGACTCTCTGTGCCTCCTGAACTTTTTCCTTGACCAGGTTTGGGAAGTTTTATGCCATTATTTCTTGAAACAGGTTCTCTACCCCTTGCTTACTTTTGACCTCCTCTGGCACTCCTATAATGTGAATATTGTTACATTTCATGTTGTGCCATAGCTCCCTTAGACTGTCCTCTTGTGTTTTAATTGTTTTTTTCTTTTTGGATCTCTGATTGAGTGATTTTTTTCCTACCCTGTCTTTTAATTCACTGATCCAATCCTCAGATGCCTCTAATCTGCTGTTTATTCCTTCCAATATATTCTTTATTTCTGCTATGTCATTCTTCATTTCTGACTTGTCATTTTTCATAGTTTCCATATCTTTTTTCATGCTGTTGAGCATCCTTACAATCAGTATTCTGAACTCTATATCTGATAGATTGCTTATTTCCATTTCATTTAGCTCTTTTTCTGGAGACTTCTGTTGTTCTTTCATTTGGGGCTTGCTTTTTGTCTCCCCATTTTGGCTGCCTATTTGGGTTTGTTTCTATGTATTAGGTAGACCTGCTATGACTCTCAGACTTTTTGGAACATCTCTGGTGCAGGCCAATGTAAGACACTGTTTGTGACTGGCCTTGAGTACCCTGTTTGGAGCTATCAACAACCCTAGACTTGAGGTCCCCTCTGTTGTGGCTCGGTGCATTTGGACAGGACCAAGATGCACACCAAAGTCTGCTTTTCCAAAGCCCATGTCCGGAAGCAGATCAGGCAAAGACTCAAAGCACTTTTGAGGTCTGCCTCTGCCTGCAGACTGATTAATCTGATTCTGTTAATGAGCCTCAGGCTATAGAAGCTCCACAGAATGGGGCAACTGATTGTTATCAGGCTGTTAATGAGCCTCAGGCTGTAGAAACTCCACTGGGAAAGGTTTTCCAGCAGGATGAGGCAGTTGCTTCCCCCTCAGGCAAAAGCTGCTCCGGAGGTAAACGTCTGCCTGTGAAAGATATCCTCTGCAGTTTGGGGGAATGACTTGGCACAGGAATCCAGAGGGGGTGCCCTGTGAGCTCCATCTCCGGAGCCCACAACCCTGGCCTCTCCCCACACAGCTCCAGTCCACTCTGCTCTCCCTCTGCCGGAGCCCAAGGTAAGTGGCTGCACAGGAAACTTTGTGTATTGGCTCTTTAAGAGGGTGCTGCATTTCTAGCCGTCTCTCCCTGGCAGAAAGAAGCCCTGCTGCTTTTCACAGCCAGATGTTATGTGGGCACCTTTCTCAGTTCTGGTGCCCTGGGCTGGGGAGCCCAGCCTGGGGTTTAGACCCCAGAGTCCTCAGTGGGAACCCCCACAGCTGAGATATCCCTCCAGACCGTCAGCTGCTGTGCCAGCCCTCTCGTGCCTCTGCACTTCCTACCAGTCTCTATGTGGTCTCCACTTTCCCTCCTTGGTTATGAGGGTGCTCTCCAGCTCGTCTTCAGTTGCAGTTGATTATATAGGATGGTTTTTCTGTATTTTAGTTGTAATTCCAGTTTGGTCCCTGGAGAGTGTCAGTGTAGCTTCCACTCAGTCTGCCACCATCTTTAATCTCTCCAGGTACGGTGCCCTTGACAAATCAAACCTGCAACCCTTTGGCCTGCAGTATAGATTAGCTACAGTGGCCAGGGCACCTCTGTTTACTTTTAAAAGCCGTACAATTTTATGTTTTACATTTAGGTGCATACTACATTTAAAATAATTTTTGCATAAGGTATGAGGTTTCAGTTGATGTTAATTTTAATTTTTTTAGTATGGCTGTCCAATTGCTCCAGGACCATTAAGTAAAAAGACAATCTATCTCCATTTAATTGCTTTTGTATTTTTTATTAAAATTGGTGAACTACCAATTGGTGAACTACCAAAACTCAACCAAGATGAAATAGATAACCTGAATAATACTGTCAGTACTAAAGGAATTCACTTTGTAATTTAAAAGCTTGCAAAAAAAAGAAATTCCCAGACCCGAATGGTTTCATGGTAGAATTTTACGAAATATTTAAAGATTAACACCAATTGTACACAACTTCTTGCAGAAAATAGAAAACACTTTTCAACTTATTTTGTAAGACCAGTATATCCTTGATATCAAAACCAAAGACAGTAAAAATAAAACTGCAGACTGATATTCATTGTTAGTATATAGAAATATGATTGATTCTGGAGAATCAGTCTGTCTCATGAATTTAAACATAAGAATCCTCAACAAAATTAAATCCAACAGTGTGTAAAAAGAATTACACACCACAACCAGTGGAGCTTAACTCCAGGTGTGCGAAGTTGATTCAGCATTCAAGATCAGTGTAATCCACTATAGCAACAGGATAAAGACTGAAAACTATGATCATATTAATTATGAGAACAAGTCTGTGACAAAATCCAGCATCTGTTCATGATAAACAAGTTTGGAAAAGAAGGGAACTATCTAAACTTGATAAAGAGCATTTACAAATGACCCACAGTTAACATACTGGTGAAAGACTGAATGCTTTCCTCCCAAGACTGAAAATAAGGTAAGGCAGTCTGTGTAACCAGGGC